CGCAGCACCGGGCCGGGAGCGGGGGAGGCGGGGCCAAGCTGGACCCGCCCCCTCCTGGTTGTATTCGTGCGTGCGCCTGTGTGTGCGTGCGTGCGTGCGTGCGCGCCTGTGCACTCATGTGCACCTGTGTGCGTGCGCACCTGTTTGTGCCCTTGCACTTATACATGCATACACTTGTGTGTCCGTGCATGTGTGTGAACCTGTCTGTATACCAGTGTCTGTGCGTGTTTGCATGTGTGTGTTTGTGCACGCCTGTGTATATCCATGTGCGTCTGTGCGTTTCTTTATGTGCACGTGCACCTGTGTGCGTATCCCTCCGTGTCCGTGCATGTGTGCACGCACGTGTGCATTTGCACCTGTGTGTGTGTACACCTGAGGGTGCATGTGCCCGTGTCTGTTTATGTGTGTGTGCGTTTGTGTGTGTGCACCTCTGGGTTCATGCACGTGTGAATGTGTGTGCACCTGTGCCTGTGTACGCCTGTAGGTGTCAGCGGATGTGTGTGCAGGCATGCATGTGCATGTGTATTCCTGTGTGTGTTCAGGTGCAGGTGTGTGCATGTATGTTCACGTGTGTGTGTGCGCCTGTGTGTCTCTGCATGTGTGCATGGATGTGCACTGGTGTGTGCAGGCCTGTGTGTGTGCCTGTGCATGTCTGTATGTTGCTGGCTGTAGGGGCAGAGCGGGGGGCACCCAGAGAGAGATACCGGGCAGACCCGCACCCCCTGCACCCACCAGCCCTGCTGGTCTCGGTGACTCCCGACTCTCTGGCCCCCGCACTCCCATCCTAACAGTGTCTTCACTAAGTGGCTCATTCAGCAGATCAAGGTGGAGGGGGGCGAGAGGGCTTGTCGGGGAAGGATCCCAGGAAGGATCCTGGGTACAAATGTAATTGTTGGTAGTGTTTTGGGAGCCAGCGCCTTCCCTGGGCCCAGTGCCAGGGTTGAGTGGGGCTGTGGAGACGTGCGGGTCATGTGTCTCCCGTCGCATGATAACACCTGTGAGACGCAGCCAAGAGGCCACATGTGAGTGGTAGGAGCACAAGAGGTGGGGTGAGGTCTCCCCGGGTGCAGACAGTGGCTGTTGGCCTGGGACCAGCACCAGCTTTGTCCTTGGACTCAAAGGGAAAATGCCATGTCCCCCCCTGGAGGGAATGGGGGAGTGCAAAGGGGACCCAGGGACTGTAACAGAGGAAGGCAGGTGGGGCAGGGCAGGGGGACTGCTGACTTGAAATGTCCTCCATTAAACTCTAATTGCGGCTAATATTGCCCCATTTTCTGACCCAGACCTGTCCAAATATCCCCATGAAGTTGGGTAGAAATTGAGCACACCCAGGCAAGTTCCCCAGCCCCAGGGGACCCTTTCCTTCCACTGAGAGTCTGCTGCAGGGCAGGATTAGCTCCATAGGGGTGGGAGCAAAAAAGAGCCCCCTCCCGCTCACCATAACCAGGGGCAGGGGCCGTGCCCAGCTCCCATACATACACACATGCCAGATGCCAGGCTCGCAGTGTCCACTCCAGAACTGCTTCACATGTGGCTTCTGGTCTGGCTGGTCCAAAGTGAGCACTTTGTAGAGTGCGGCAGGTGTAACCCACACCCACTGAGTGCCGCTGATCCCCTTCCCCTGCCTAATTTGCTGCTTTGTGTTGTCCTCGCATCCTCTGCTCCCTGCCTGATCTGCTGCTCTGCCTTCTGCTCCCTACTCTACCTACTGCTGAGCTGCCCATCCCCTTCCATGTCTGCTGTGTGCCACAAACAGATGCTGCCTGTGCCACTTATGGCACCCATGCAACAAGTTGGGCAACCTCTTCCAATCCATCTCCATCCCCTCATCCCTGTGCTCCTCTCTGTCCATCACTTCCAACCCAGCTGCTGTTTCTCTATTACTTTGTCCCCCTGTTCCTCCCCACCACTGCCTCCTACCCTGATCTTCATAATCCACGGGCTCATCCTCTTCTTACCTCAAAATCCACCTTCCTTCTCCACATCCAAAACCTCCTCACCCTCTTCCTCCACATCCACGGGCCCAACCTTGCTCCTCAAAATCCATATGTTCATATATGATCATTCTGGGAAAAAAACAAAGAGAAAACTCCTGCTACGGCAACACGGCCATCCTCAGGGCAGAGGAAAGCAGAAACCAAGCAGGTAGGGGGAAGGTGAGAGGAGCCAACATTGGTAATGTCAAAGCCTTTGTGATGTCACGGTCCCACTGCCCAATAGTCTGTCCCAGCCCTGATGATGTCACAGTGGAACGCACCTTGCAGGATGGATGTCCTGGCCCTGGAGCCGGAAGTTGAAGCCATTTCTGCTTTGTGCGCTGGGTGTCCCCATTCACACCCCCCGATTCTGGGGCCTGGAGTCCCTAGGTGACTCGGACTTCTAACGCCTTGTAGGTTAGCACCTCAGAAGGGGCCTGAGGATAAAAGACCAAGCTGGATCCAATGCATTTAATAAGAAGCTGCAGGTTTTAATAATGAGGGTGATTGACCACTAGAGACAACAAAGGAGAGCAGTGATGACTTCTTTAGTGCTTGGTACCTTCCTACCAAGACAGATGCTTTTAAGGAAGATCCGTATTAGGCAAGCACAAGTACCTGAACCCATAAGAGCAACAGGGGAAAGGGGAATCCACGTGGGAGGTCAGACTGGGCGATCTTACAGAGGCTGGAGGCCATCGACTGGATAAGTCTGTTGTAGGGTGGCCATCATAGAGGACAGTCCAGGTTTTCTGCAGGATCATGTCCCAGGTTCTTCCTTCTCACTCACAGTCCAGTGAGTCTGTCCCCAAGCCACAGGGAAGATTATAAATGCCCCCAACTCCTCCTGCTTTGATCATGCAAAGCCAGAGAAGAGAGGAGTATGCCATGGCGCCCTGGTTCTCCACTCATGCTCAGGAGGAGGAGGAGGGCCTGACTAGGGCTGCAATTGGGGCTGGCGCCTCAACCGGGAACAACAGCTGGGGCCTGGCGCTCTCAGGTCTCGGAGATAGTCTGGATGTGGCTTTTCAAGCCCTAGCAACAACCTAGGCCTGGCAACTCAGGCCTTTGCAATGGTCTAAGCCTGGTGCCTTGGTCCTTAATGACTGTTGGGGCCGATCTCTCAGGCCTTAGTAACGACTAGGGATGGAGTCAGTGGCCCTTTGGGTTGCTAGGGGCCTGACACCTCAGACCTTGGCAATGGTCAGCTGAACCAGACTGTCCTCTATGACGGTCACCCTAGTGGGGGCCCTTCGGGGACTGGGGATGGGGGAGCTGCCTTCTGGCCCCGGCCCCAGCAGGGCAGGGAGTGGCTCCACGGCAGAAGCGTGGGGTGGAGCAGGGCGCTGGGTTGCTGGAGGTGAGACACCACGGGAGGGGTGGGCTGGGGCAGGGGGTTGGTGGAGATGCTCGGGGCTGCAGTCAAGCTGTCCCTCTCTGTGCTTTCTTCCCCCAGGCTGAACCCCTGCCCCACCTCTGCCCCTGCATGGGCGCTGGCCCCAAATTTAGGCATCAAGTCCTGCAGTTTGGAGGTGAAAGGAGTCTGGCATGGCGGGGTATCCGCACACCTGGGCTCTCTGGGCGGAGAGTGGGAGCTGGCGATGAGCTGGGACACCTGGGTCCATTCCTGGTGGCTCTAGCCTGTGACTGTCCCTGCAGGTCTGTGTCTGGAGCCCCTGGGACCACACCTCCATGGGGAAGCTGCCCCAGCGTGGCACCTGCATCAGGTCCTGCCAGCCCACACCCGTGCCAGGTGAGTTAAGGGAGGGGAAACCCAGGAAGCCTGATAAGTCCAGCCAGGGTGGACCCCTCCCCTCTGCTCACAGGTGGCACTGGGATCCCCGACCTGGGCATGGCCCTGGTCAGCCACCACGGTGCCTGGCTGATGCTGAGTGGGGGGGACTGAGAGCGGGGCAGGGGGCGCAATGTCATCTGATGGGGTTGGTGTGATTCCCCCTCACCCCCGCTCTCCCTGGGACAACAGACACATCTCCGAATTGTGCCAAGGTAACCTGGACACTTTGTGATAACAAGGAATAATTGTGAATGGAGTCTGATAGCAAGGAATAACTGTAGTACTACTAATTGTGCGAATGGAGTCTAAATCCTACAGTTCCCTCTTTCTCCTGGGTTCAGGTTGATTTTGTTCCAAGGACCCTGTCTTACCACCCACCATCCCCCACTTTCCTTGTGGGGAGCCCTTTACCCAGACCATCAAGGTATCTTCTTCTCAATTCTTGCCCTTTATTCACCACTTTCCCCCTCCAGCCGCCCTCCCTTCATTTCCACTCATCCTCTGCCCTGCCTCAAGCAGGACTGAGGTAGGAATAGCATCGCCCATGTCATGCAGAGGCAATAAATCCCTCAGGACCCAGGGACTGGGACTGAATAGGGTTCATGTGATAATATCCATGGGTTAAATTGTGGAGGTTTCACATTGAATTTCTATGCTTCATTTTCCCTTTCTTGTACACTCTTGTATGGGGAAAGAATGGGTTAA